AAATGTGCAATAACACAAAGAAGACAGATGATAAATTGTTCTATTATTTGGATTATCTACAACATTATTATCTGATGTGTGCATACATTCAGACACCCACTTTCTGTGCTATGAATCTGTTCATGTGGAAGCCCCATTGAGTTTCAGACACACATCCAGGGATCTGGTTAAAGTGAATTTACTTGTTCTGTCTCAGGTCTCAGCTCTATCTATTATCCTGTCAAAACTCAGCCAGGAAGCAGTGACTTCATACTCCCATGACCGCCAGGCGTAAATTATATTTATGTATTCAACATTTGAAAAGAAATCGTGTCAAAGGACGGAATGATTTGTCTCAAAGCTGCAGGGGCATTTGCTGAAAAAGTGGTTGATTTGTTAAAGGGATTAGTGGGGTTTGTCTGAATGCTGGATGGATTTTGAGGCGAGAAAAAGAGTGATGATGCTTATGTATGTGTGTGAGTATGTTTGAGGTAATATGCTTTTTCATAATACAGTATATTCCAACTGTTCATGTAATAAATCAGTAACAATAAGCAAGGGCTCTGTTTTCTAACAGAAACACAAAGGAGCAAGCATTGAAAGTGTGTAATGATCTCCAGGGAAACAAGTCTCCTTAGCTAGCACTATGACAGCTCCAACTGGAACCCAGGGTCTGCTCAAGATTAAGCCCAATCAAATCAATTCAAGAGCTCTGCATCTGTTTCTCTGATGGATCTTTGTAGAGCATCCAGCACAGAATTTCTGCCTTAATTTGCAACTTTCTGAACACATGAGATAGTTTGAAAATGTTCCAGGAAAGCATCATAACACAAAAATACACTATTTATTTTTCCAGTATGACTAATACACAGCATCCCTTTAAATCATTGCAGGCCCGGATAGCTTGAAATCGGTTTAAGCATTATCCATCATTTTCACTCAGTGGTCCAGTTTTTTATCTTGTTTATTGACGGTATTTTAATATCAGGATGTGGTGTAGAAGTTTTAGTCCAAAGAACTATCCTCTTAGTCTACAAGAAATATACACATATTCAAAGAGATGAGAAAATGATGGGGGGGTGATACATTTGTTAAATGTAGTGTCACTATTCATCTTGAGATGACGTTATGTTTGATTATACATTTATAGGGAGCATTCATGTAGTGTAATGGCATGTTATGGGCATTAAAAACTCGAAACTCTAACTAAGCTTCTTGTTCTTTTCTTGTCAATTACTGTATGTCACATGGATGTGCATTTCTTTGGCAAAGTAAAAGAGCATAAGGCACCTGTATCTCTTTTTACTGTTGCTCATTTGGTACGTTATCTGCACATCTCTGTTGTCCTTAAGGATCTGGAAACATTTTTTTTTAATTGTATTTTCCAGACTATGACTATATGTGTAACAACTTTACTGATGTTGCAACTCAAATACTGAATTCAGTAAAAAATAAGTTAAATAGATCTCATTAGAAACTGAATTGCCTCATTGTTGCCCGGCTTACTGAGCTGTGTCAGCGACCTTAGTCCAAGTGCCGGTTACTCAGGCCTCAAAAGCTGGCTCAAATCCTTCCTCTCATTTTAATCTAAACAAGCCTCTTTTGCTCTTTAAAGTTGGATTTCAGTCTAATTGCATTGTATTCAGTTTTACTTTTGTTCATCCTTTTGCCAGCATATTGGAACCATAAAATGTTTAACTGCAAAACATAAAACAAACCATTATTATTACATTATTCTCAGTTAGTGATCATCTGGATAGAATTGTTTTTTCGTGATCAATCACAGATACATTTTTTTTATTCTACTCTTTCTTTTTTTCCAGTATTGTCCTATATGAATGTTGCCCTGGGTACGTGAAGCTGGGGGACATGGCAGGATGCCCAGCAGGTAGTCTGCTTTGTTCATAATCATCTTACCTCATATCCTTTCAGAGTTACTGCAGACTGTAAACTTTTTCCTGCTCTTCCTAGTGGCTCCGATTTACCATGTTTATGGTACACTTGGGTCTGTGATGGCCACAACCACACAAAGGTACGCTGACATGTCCAAGCTGAGAGAGGAAATCGAGGGCAAAGGCTCCTTCACCATGTTTGCACCAAGCAACGACGCCTGGGATGAGCTGGAGCCTGTGAGTATCCTGCAGGTTTGGCTTTTTTTTTCCACACTTCCAGTCTTGACACTGCAAGCAGATTCACCACCTTTTATGTCTTGCTTTAATTTCTCTAGAATATAAAAGCTGACCTGGAGAGCAATGTGAATGTTGAGCTGTACAACGTTCTTCACTTGCATATGGTTAATCGCCGTCTTCTGACCAAAGACATGAAGAATGGCCTGGTTGTCACTTCCATGTATAACGACGTGGGGTTGCATATCAACCACTATCCAAACGGGGTCTGTCTTTGCGTGCAAAAATAAGTATAATAATGTAATTATACCTTGCATTAATGATGGTATTTTCATAAAATATTTTTTCTCTAAAGATTGTAACAGTGAATTGTGCCAGGATCATCTATGGTAACCAGATTGCCACAAATGGAGTGGTGCATGTCGTCGACCGAGTCATCAAGCCATTTAATAACACCATCAAGAACATCTTGGAAGATGATGATGATCTATCCTCATTCAGTGTATGTAAAGTCTGGTTTCTAAAAATAAGCTACAAAAAAATTATCTGACCACAGCAAACAAACAACACCGATGATAAAATGTTAAGAAAAGCACATCTGCTACTTTTTCATTAACTTTTTTCAGGCTGCAGCTATAGCTTCTGGTGTAATGGAAAAACTGGACAAACCTGGTCATTATACTCTGTTTGCTCCAACTAATGACGCTTTTGATAAAATAAACCCAGACGACTTGGAGAGGCTAATGGATGACAAAGCTGTAATTACAGGTACATGAAATATGTTGTTGTTGACATCTTCTAACTTTACATACATCTTACTGACAACATATCCAGTAGGTGAGTTGGCAGAATGTTGTGCTTCTATCTGATATTAGAGGAAAGTCTGAATCTTATGCTCTCCATGTTTGAAACCATTTTGGAGGGTATCTTTGACTATCTGAATGTATTTAGATGTGGGTGACCACAGATCAAGATTTTGAGTATCTTTGTGGCTGTAAGTCAATAGAGAGATCAGCAAATGTTTATATTTTTAGTGCAGGGCTGTCCAACTCCTGCTCTCAAGTGCAATGCACTATATGGCTCAAGCAAGAACAGCCTATTATCATATTTGCTAATTCAAATAGATTGAGGATGAGGACCAACTAGTGTGGTAATTACCAACATCTTCAAAAATCTCAGAAAAAACAATGAGCAGAAAAATATTCATCAACAGATTTTTTTGTCACATTTGGACATTTTTCTCTCCCGTCTTTGTCTCACCAACTTTCTCAGCATTGGTGAACTATCACATGTTGAACAGTGTCCAGTGTGCGGAAGCAATCATGGCAGGATCAGAATATGAGACGGCGGAAGGCAGCACAATACAGATTGGCTGTGATGGCAACAGTCTGACTGTCAATGGAATAAAAATGGTGGTGAAGAAGGACATCGTAACATCAAACGGAGTCATTCACCTCATAGATCAGGTCCTCTTCCCTGACTCAGGTAAGACAACATTCTGGTACCATTTCTTCAATGTGTGATATTTTCCCATTTATTTCTATTCTATTACATATACACAGATGTACATAGTATTTTTGTATCTCTCCAACTTCTGCAATTAAACTTTATTTCTATTTCAACCTCTATCATTTGATTCATATTAGCCAAAGATGTCATGGAGCTGATGGGAGACTCCCAGAGTACCTTTGGGGATATGCTGTCTGAATTGGGTTTGTCAGCTGCCCTGGGTTCAAAGACAGAGTACACACTCCTTGCTCCTCAGAACAGTGTATTCAACGGTGAGTTTAAAGCTCAAATGAACATCAGATCTGTCATTATGTATCTAATACCTTTTCCATTCTGAAGCTGTACATTGTCTTTGTGTTTGCAGAGGAGGTGATGTCAATAGACCAGAGCCAACTGAAATTAATTTTGGAAAACCACATCTTGAAGTCTAAAGTCACACTGAGCTGGCTTTACAACGGACAACTGCTGGAAACAATGTCGGGAAAAATGCTCAGAGTCTTCATTTACCGCACTGTGAGAACTATGTGTGTCTATTGCAACAGATTTTCAAATGCCATGCGTTTGTATGATACTGGGAAGGATCCCCTGGCTCCTTTTGTCATTTGTCATTCAGCTGTTCGAAAAATGACTTGAAGAAAAACATGTTTATGCTCAGGAGACTCACATATTACAATCATCTGGAATACATTTACTCACAGAGGCCTCATGGTTCAGTTTTATTAATTGTGATCATAGACTATTGTGTGACAGCCACACT